CACTAAAGACAAATCGTTTCACTAACTGAAGAAGAAAAGGAAGTACCTGAATTCAGCAGGAAACACATACTTCATACGGTTCAGTAAGAAGTGGCTAATTAGCATGTGAGAATAAAGGTGTTTTTTATTTTTCCTGAAAAGTTAAAAATCCTAAACCACAATAATGTGGCAATCAGCTTATCATTTCCCCCGACAAAGGCTGACATTTTAACTATATGTATTCAAAAGCTCTAACAAAGCTACAATTATATGTTACTACAAACTGCTTCTCCTTCCTAATTTAACATTAATCTATCTAAATAAAGAACAGTGTAGGGGAAGAATAAGGACCTGTTCTCAGACTCACTACAATCATTACATCCCAAGTCAATTGCAAATTGTTATTGTAAACTAGAGTCCTGGTGCACGAAATTCATGCAAGGGGGACGTCCCTCAGCCCAGCCTACACCCTCTCCAATCTGGGACCTCTCGGGAGATGTCCAACTGCCGGTTTAGGTCCAATCCCGCTCAAAATCCAGGACTGCTGGCTCTTAACTGCTCACCTGATCACCCCTAACCACTCTCCCCTGCCGGCCTGATCGCCCCTAACTGCTCTACCCTGATGGCCTGATCGCCCCCTCTGCCTCAGCCCCAGACCACCATGGTTTTGTCCGGAAGGACGTCTGGAAGGATGTCCAGAAGACATCCTTTCTAATTAGCATATTACCCTTTTATTAAGATAGATGAATTCACTTTTTGCCTGCTTAAATTCAGACACTCCTTGACTCTTTCCAGGCAGAATGCTTCCGAGTCACGTTATCCTTACAGGTTAAGAAAAAGTCATGTATTTAGCATAATGATATGATAAATCAGACATTTCATATTAGGTTCCAAACTGAACACATAGAAGGTACCAAAGTTTAAGAAAAAAAATAAGTTAAAAAAAAACAAGAAAATTATATTCAACAACCTGGGGTTTTCCCCCAACGAACTAGGAAATGTCCATCACTGTCATTGGCCATGACTGGAATGTACTGGCATAATGTGAGTGTAGTTGGATGCAATGAGCAGCTGGCATAAACGTGCACACATTCCGCCAGCCTGTCCAGCAGTCTACTGCATATTTCTGGTCCGTCTCCACTGCGTAACTCAGGCGCCCAACCATCGCAAGCCTGAAAAACAGCCACACATTTCCTGGGCTCTTCTCACTCTCCTCCAAACCACAAGCTTCTACACTCCAGTGAAGTCACTCCCCATCCCCTACTCACTCACTCCCTTGGCTCCAAGCACATTGATCAAAGGTCTGCATATCTTTTCTTACAATCATGTGTGCTACTTTTATGACAGTGTGTCAGTCTGGACTCTTCTTCGTGTCTCCTAGTTCACTAGTAGGTGAGTTCAGCTGTTACAGCACTAATGAATCACATCCTACTTACAGGATACAATAGACTGGTGAATTACTTGAGGGACATAGGTCTCATTTCATCTTTTGAATTCCCGAGGCTTGGAAAATAATAGGTATTTCCATTAAAATGTGCCGCAATATGGAAGAACTATCATTAGACATTGCACTGACTAGTAAATAGTAAATGTACTTTCTTTGACTTCATTCACTAAACAACCTCAGAAAGCTATTGTCCCCATTTTACAGATGAGGAAACTGCTACCAAAAATGGGGTGAGAAGGAATAGCCCATAAAATGCAGGTATCAAGAAACTATCACCAGTGTCCACATTTCCATATCTCTTTAGTCTAGACCCAAGTTACTTCAGGTAATTACAATTCCTTAAAAAGTAAGTTTTCAAATGACTCAAGAAGCACTGTCTTTCTGTGGTTTTAAAAGTTCTTTATTTCAGAGTTAATTTGTATTTGAGGCATATGCCACGATTACTTTACGTCACATTACTTTACTTGATTTGAATTTTATTTTTTTTAAATATATTTTATTGATTTTTTACAGAGAGGAAGGGAGAGGGATAGAGAGTTAGAAACATCGATGAGAGAAACATCGATCAGCTGCCTCCTGCACACCTCCCACTGGGTATGTGCCCGCAACCAAGGTACATACATGCCCTTGACTGGAATCGAACCCGGGACCCTTCAGTCCGCAGGCCGACGCTCTATCCACTGAGCCAAATCAGTTAGGGCTGATTTGAATTTTAAATATCACCAAAGGCAGATCTTATTGTAATCATGTAACTCACCCCCAAAATCCACCCAGATAAAGTTTTTCTTCAAGCCAACAGTAAATTTTTTAAAAAAAGAAAGAAAAGACCCAGTGCATTTTTTTATTAAGCAAAGAAAATCTGACTTCAGAAACTGAGCTTTGAAGTGACAGTGAGTCCTACCTTTCTTATTAAATGGCAATGATAGGAGGTGATAGCTGTTTTTGTTTTGGGTTTTTCTTAATGTCCTTCCTTTTTAAAATGTTGATTGATTGATTTGAGAGAGAGAAACACAGATCAATTGCCTCCTGCACACACCCCTACTGGGACTGAACCCGAAATCTGGGTATGTGCCCTGACCTGGTCTAGAACCTGCCACCTTTTGGTGGGATGTTCCAACCAACCGAGCCATACCCGCCAGGGCTCCTTTCTTGCGTTTTAAGTGTTTTGTGAAAGCCCAAAGTCTGGGAAGGACTGCGTTAATCCAGTCTCTATATACAGCACTGCAGTTGGAGAGATTCATGTTGAACCTCAGCCAAGATATGCAAAGCTAATTATGGAACTGTTAATTACTAAATGCTTAAAAGGTTATTTGAAGGAGACTAATATAGAAGGAAAAAAGCCAGTAATATTTTTACCATAAATTTAAGTCCTCACTTGTTCAGTCATATGCCAATACAATTTGAAATTAGTATTTCAGTTATAAATATGTAGTTTTTTAACCTACAAATCCAAATATCATCGTTATGTAAACTAAATACTTGTGACCAAACAGGCATAATTTGGGGAGACATGCTTTTTAAATATTGCTCACAGATCATTTAGTTGTGTTTATGAACAAAACTGCTTAAGAAGCAAATATATATTACCAGAACCCCAAAATGAGCAAAAATATAATGAAAGTATAAGTTGTCAAATGAAAAATATGAGACTGCTCACAAACAATGATAAAAAGAAACTCAAATAGAAAATGTAAGTATAACAGACACAATTTTCCCACTAGATTTGAAAGTTAAATATTTACTATAAAAACTCTTTTGTGCAGATTCTCATAATTGAAAGTTCTCTGGGCTACAGGTATTTTTCAGCCCTGTCATTACGACTTAACATGTATTCTACTGAATGACTTTGCAAGGAATTAAGTCTTTCTTGTACTGTTAGAAACTCTCAGCTCACAAATTCATGCGTTAGCAATTAAATCAAAAGGTACAATAGCCAAAACAAAAAATGTTTTTCAATAGGTAAGGACAAAGTAAAATTGTTAACTAGAAGGGGATAAGGTGAAGCCATTTTACACTCACCAATTTTAAGAGTAACTTTTACAGCTAGCTAAAAACACAATAAATTAGGTCTTTAAAGTAGAGGAAACAATTCCACAACAGATGCCTCACCTGAAAAACTGAAAACATTGTGTGTTTAAACACTCTACAGAAGCAATTTCAAGGGGTCTGAACTCAACAACTTAATAAAACGGTTTAGAAAAATCATTTTATTGTTTGAAGCCTTGAGGGATAAAGCTGTTTGTAATTTATTTACGTCTTTTACTTCACTAAATTGCTTTGGTGATCACGCTTCCCATTTAAGTGATTAAAGACATAAACCCAAATAGTTTAATAAAGCAATTACTTAAGAGTCCTGTTTTTCAACAGAGGTGCACTGAAAGGTATCAATAGAACATTTATAGTGTTCATTATGTACAAGAAGGTTTGTTATTCAGAACACAGCGCCCCATTGACTAGAACTTAGCTAGGTTTCCAGACACACAATATGGGACACACTTGGATTAAAGACGACTTTTTTCCTCCTCTCAGAATATCAGGTGAAATAGTGACAAAGGTCAGGTGGCAATTTTTCTATATCTCCTTACCATTCCTCCTCTCTAATGACATGCCTAAATAAAATGCGTTCCTGTTTTCCAGGTGGGCCTGAAAAGCTCCCTCACTGTCAAAGCCGGGTGTTTCCACTGGGGTTCTCACCACGCCCGGATTCCCTCCTAGCTCACTACTTAGGTTACACTAGCAACATCACCATGACTTCTAGGCAATTGACTGACCTAAATACAAAGCTATGTAAGTCTTCACCAAGTTTTGGAGAGAAACTGGATTGCTGGGGTTTAAAAAAAAAAGAAAAAAAAAAAAAAGGAAGAAAGAAACGGAATTTAACAAAAATTATTTCTATATTTTCCTGTATTCTTTTCTTTCAAAGCCCCTTCCTTAGAATCACACAAAGACCTTTACCGAGTCTATCCTGAGAAACAGAAGGAAGCATGACAGCAAAACTGTCCTAGTTCACATCCACATCCTTCTGTTCGTGATATCAAGCCTATTTAACGTGTGCTTTTCTTACATTACAAAATTCTAACTCTCAAGCATCCATGAAAAAGACAGCACAGAAGAACTCCCAGCCCTTGCATTAACAAGGCACTCCGTAGAAAAAGCACCTTCAACCAAAACTTTTTTACCTGTGTCCACGTCAAACGTTCATATTTTTTTTTTTTGACAAGCCAGGTGAAGTTGGAAAACATTCACATGCAAAACTACTTTCTCTTTCAAACAATAATAGATAAGTGTGAGGGTCTGCATTAGTAATAACCCAATGAACATCAACGTTAATAGGGCTGATACTTAAGAATGCAAAACGGCCGAGCTGGTTTGGCTTAGTGGATAGAGAGGGTCGGTTCCATTCCAGTCAAGGGCACATGCAGGGGTTGCAGACTTGATCCCCAGTAGGGGGCGTGCAGGAGGCAGCCAATCAATGATTCTCTCTCATCATTGATGTTTCTATCTCTCTCCCCCTCTCCCTTCCTCTTTGAAATCAATAAAAACGTATTTAAAAAAGAATGTACAAAACGTTTGGTAGCTTTCCCTCTGTTTACTTTTGCCCATAAAGGTTGGGTGGGGGCAATGCGCGGCTTCCGACTGTCAATGAAGCTTTCATCCTGGGGTGTCAGTAGTCACTGGCCCACTTCTGACTCAGGCCAGTACTACGCCGGGTCCGTTTTTATTCTACACAACTGGCACAGGAACAGGAAAGTTTAACAGTTCATTGACTTGGCACAGTCCACATGCTGTCACAGTGCAGGTTTTGTCTCTTACAGTTTTGTTTGGTGAAATACACTCCCCCCGCAGTAGGTTTCCAATCATTGCTATTCTAATTAATCGACAAAAGGCATCACCACTTCCCCCATCTCTAATTTCCATTAAAGGCCTCTGACATCATTTTCTGACCTGTCTTGCTAGGTTCTAATGTTCCCAGCATGTGTGCTTTCACTTGGCACTTCAAAATGCAATTCTTTCATTGAAATGTGCTTTTCCACCACACTAACGGGGAACTCACATTCTCAGCTGCAGAAGACTGATGCGGTGGTCAATTTTAAAACTAATAGTGGATAAGGAAGGCAAACGACACATTTGGTAAATACGTGCAATCTATGATTCCCCCAGATGTGATGGCTCCGTCAAGAAAAACGAAAACATCAAAAACGGTACCAGGTGCCATTCTTGGGCCTTGTCCAAAGGCAGCCAATGGAAGATTCTGTTTTACTCCGTTCTCCCCCACATTAAGTAACAATAATCAACGTCAGAGAAGAGCATTTGGATTTGAACAGATGGCATCCAACACTTAACAAGCGCAGCAACTCTTTCAAGAATTAGATCCTACATGTCTGATGGTCCCACGGATCAGAAGGGCTTATTTGTCTAATAGGGTTGGCAACGAGATATCCTGTAGTCACCATCCCAACGCTTAGGAATATGCGTCATTCTCTAGTCAGCAACTAAAAGCAAAAAAAAAAAAAAATCAAGCCACCACATTTTTATAAAATTTCCCCCTCGCCAGTCCAACTTGAAACGACCAAATCCAATGCCAGCGGCAATTCCTCCAGTTCAAGGAAGAGGAAAATAAGCCTGAAGGTAAACGAATGTATAAAGGTTAACAAACTTATCTAATTTTGACAAGGTTGTGCAACACCGAAGGAATCCGAACGGTGCCCTTCCCGGGGGTGGGTTTGACATGCCTGCCATGCAAGAATGTCTGCATTTTAAACTAAAAGCACGAACTTAGCTATCCAACTTTTTTCCCCTGTCATTGGAAAGCTGCATCCCTTTTTCAAAAGAGCAAAATAATAAATACACAAACACCTCAATGCTTTACGTTTAGAAGAAGGCCAACACGGATCGTCTCTCGCAGACCCATACAAGTTTCCTGCAATACCTCTGCCAACACCTCCAAACTCTGAAGGTAGAAGGGGCCACATGCATGAGAAGGAAGGGGCCCGAGGCCAGAGTGGCAGGAGGAGCCAACCCAGGGGAGGTGAGCACCTCTCCTCCCCAAGGCTCCCCAAGATTCACGGGGCAGGGCGTGCGGCTGGGGAGAGGGGAAGCTCATTAGACAATTCCCTCCGCTAGGCAAACGTAGGGGGAAGGTCAGGAATGGGGAGGGCAATGCAAAGGAGACTATCCAGGAGGCGGAAAAGTAAACCCAGGACAACCAGGGACAAGGCTTGGAAGATGGGCTGCCCCTGGAATTTGAGGTTCTTATCAGAAAAATGGGAATGCCCGGGGGGAACCGTTCAGGAGGGGGGGGCCGGGAGGCCGCAGCCGAGGAGCCCAAATGCTCCA